TTAGGGGTTTAGGGTGTAGGGCTTAGAGTTTATGGCTTTAGGGGTTTAGCGTTTAGGAGTTCCGGGCTTCGGGATTGAAAGCTGAGAGTTTAGGGGTGAGTTTTGGATGTGGGAACTTCAGATGTCAGGGGACCCGACTTTACAGACACCATTTCGAGGAGCCCTAAAAGTTCCCCTGCAAGAAGGTACCCTATTTCAAGCTCCCACGTCTCCTAGCCATACGGCACAGGCCAGAGAGCTTCGCAAATGTCTAGTAGTTGGAGTGCTGTACGGGTCCGAAAGGTTTGAGGCTGCACAGGGTTTAGAGCTTCGGGCTGTGGGTGCATCTTGGCATCCTGGTCACACTCTTAAAAACTCTAGCGCCTACTTAGAAACTTTGTAAAGCGTACGTTAAGACTGTAGAAACCAAATAAAGCCTCTTGATGGCAACTTGCCAAGCCCGGGCTGCCGCCTAAGCGGAGTTGAGTCAGTCGATCTTCGACAGGACCGAGCATGGAAACCACAGGATCGTGGTACAGACCCACATGGCTGGTAGCTATATGGGTAGTTCTCTGCAGTAAGGTCCCTTTTTAGGGTCCTTTTTGTAGGGGTACCATATTATTTGGGGATCTAAAAAGGGACCCGACTTTTGGAGAACTTGCCAAAAACAGATGCGGGGAGGCCACCCTGCGGCAAAGGAACTCCTCCAGTTAAAGCCTAAGATTGAGCAGGGGAGCATCCACGAAAATATATGACCATGCCGCTGAGTGGGGTTTAGGGTTTAGGGTCACATGCCGTTGAGTGTTTAGGTAGGTTTAGGTCTTAAGGCTCAGCGTTCAAGGAAGTTTAGGAGGCCTTACTGGCCCTGCTGTAAGATTTTTGGATGGTCAGGTGCTGGATGTGCCGTTCTAGGCTTCGGGGGATGAACGATGCATCTTTAATCCGAAGGCCCTGAACTCTAGAACCTTAACCCCAAACCTCTAAATCCTACTGGAGCTCAAAAGTGAATAAAGACAGGCTTCAACCCCGAACCCTAAACCCCACCTCGCAAGAGTTCCGAAACGTTGGGTCCCGAGTTTATCGAGCCGTGGCTCGCTTTTAAACCCCAGACTGTGAGGGTTTAGGACTCCCCAAAAGCCCTGAGACCGGGTTCTCTAAACCCTTCGTCCTCTGTGGCTTAGTGTTTAAGGCTTTGGGATGTCTTGGATGGTAGCCCTAAACCCTAAACCCTAAACCCTAGGGTTAAGTTCAGTTTTGGGTCGACGGGGTTTCGAAACCTTGGCCCTGGGCTGAGGATTAGCAATTGGGATGCTACTGACGTGCAGCAGCTGAAGGAGCTTCACGTCAGGCGCCCTACCGCTATGATTCTAGAATCATCTGCCATAACCTGCAAAAAACTCACTCTAATTATTGATAATTATTGTAGATTACCCTTTTCATCTCGCTGTTTGCCCCCATCGAACATGAACAATAGAAAGCACTCTAGTTATTCGGGAGATAGTGGGAACGCAGCTACAAGCCCTGCTTGTAATGTTTCTCTTTCTGGTATCAGTATCTTAGCATTGGAGTGGGCAACATTTAAGTTATGCGACTTCCATTACAAATAAGGCCGGAATATTTACCATCTTTATTCCTACGGTTCTTTATTCATGGGAGGCTCCGCGCCCCTGAAGTCAATACTCCCATCGATGTTCATCCGCATACAAGTGTGCAAGTACTGAACGCACTGTTACATAAGGTGTATCCATATGGGTAGAAACATACCATGCGTGAACAATTCGTTGTGTTTGTGCTTCTTGGTGTCTCAGTTTTGTCATACAACCAAAACCCTAAACCCTAAACCCATGTCCAGCATTCGGCTTCTATGCACAGTGGGGGCTTTGAAGCATCTCCGGATTTCTATTTTAAACTGGGTGCTTTCAACATCGTTGAGCGACTAAGGCAGTACAGCTCCGGCGTGGCTTCAGTATCGGAAGTGTGTAGGCTTCAGATTTATCATGTCTGACGAGGCAAGACGGTTCGAGACAACAGTCAACTTTTGATTATCAGCAGTAGCTTCAAGCCCGGATTTCTTCTGAGTTTCCACCGCTTAGGCGATCGTGTGGGCTTTGGCTGCCGCCTGACACCCTAAACCCTAAATCGTAACCGACCTTTTGGTCAGCGCCTGCGAGCAGCGGAGGCGCGATTCAAAAAAACAAGGAAGAAAAACGTGACTGCACACTGCTGGGTTTCTAGGGCTGTAGGGAACTTGACAAGCAACGGCCAAGACTCGGCTTCAAAAGCTTGGGAGCCTGGCAAACGAAGTAGCTCAAAACACTCTTCTGAGCCGGTGTCTATGGCTTTTGCATGGGCTGTCCAACAAGGCCCTAAACCCTAAGACCCTAAACCCTGAACCCTCAGACTTCATCAACTTCATCATGAAGGTGTTTTGTACTTCAAGGGAATTCTAGAGGGCTGATACTCAGCCCGTCCAGCCTCAAACACTTAGCCCGTGGGGTTCTTCAACCCCGATGCCCCACAAGCTTGGGAGACGCAAAGTGCTGATGTCTATGAGTTTGTGTGCCTCGGTTGTTGTTGTTGCTCACTTTGCTTCGTTTCGGGGTTGAATAATAGGAGTTGTAGCAATTTGAAGTATGAATAATGTAGCATGTTATGCATCGCAAGTTCACTCTTTGTATAGCTGCCTTGTTTTTATGAGTTCATCGTCATCGATGCTAGTTGCTATTGCTACTCTTGCTGCTGCCTTACATTCGGAAACGGGCGAACAAACCGTTCAGCGGCTGAAGGCTTAACCCCAAACGACAATCTCTGCTGGAATGATCCGGAGACTGTCTAATTAGTTTCCAAGGTGTATAGATACCGCATTCAGGCATAGCTGCTACCTAGAACCCTGCATAGTGAGTCCTCCTGATGCTTAGAGCAAACCTGCAAGCCTTTGTCGAATCGTGCATCGCGCAGGGCCACGATCATGAACAAGCGGTTGAACACCTTGGCCGGAGCCTCACACACACTCTGTCTCTCTCCCTCTCTCCTGTGAATGCTAGTTGCCTATCTACATACTCTGCTATGATATGTTAAACTACACCACAATGTATTACTTTCTACTATCTATTGGAATGATTTATCGTTTGTGGCTTTGGCTGTCTGTATTGGGGGACCAGCAGGAGCCCGGTGGCCACAAGGGTTGAGGGTAGGGTTGTCCACCCTTCTTCGATTCGAAACGACTTCTGCTCTAATCCTTATAAATTATAGGGCTTAGGATTCAGCCCCTAAACCCTAAACCCTAAACCCTAAAAAGCATAGTCGATGTACTTGGGTACTAACCCCGATGCCTTAGATCTCCCGGCGCAGCAGGCAAAAGGCCAAAGCCGTGGAGATGAAGCCGAAAAACAAGGGCCTCAGGCTTCTGCGAACTCACCTTAAAGAGTTTAGGGTTTAGGGTTTTAGGGTTGAGGGTTTAGGGTTTTAGAGTTTAGGGTTTAGGGTTTTAGGGTTTAGGGTTTAGGGTTTTAGAGTTTAGGGTCTATGGTTTAGGGTTTTAAACCACCAAATCAGAAGGTCGAGTTCGTGACCGAGAACGGCGAGATGCTTGGCGTGGCACTTCAACACGCCTTGGATAAAGAGTATGCCTGCTTGGAGGTTCTTGGGTAGTTATATGTGGGGTTATAAGTAGGGTAACTATAGTTATAACCCATATTAGGGGACTGATAACCCCACTTACAACTACCCATGAACCTCTAAGTATGCCTGACACCTTAATGTTGAAGGCCCCATGACTTAAGGTATGTTCCGGAGTTTTTCAGATCTGACGAAGCTACTCAAAGGGTACTCCTTTGTAATATACTGTGCACCCCAAAGCCAAAAGCCCTAAAACGCTAAACCTTAAACACCTGCACCCTAAACCCTTAGTTCGCTTTGGCCTCGAATGATGTAAGCCGCCTTAAGTACGGCGCACAGGAAACCCCAAAAGCAACGGGCGCCTAGCCTGGCTTCCGGGTTTCAGGGTGTCGTGGACATTTGGGGCTCTAGGCGTTTCGGGTTTAGAGTGTTGAGGGCTCCGTGCAGAGACCTCTGAGTTCTTGAATGTATGTTTTCAAAGCTCAGTTCAGTTCAGGATTGACTGGATGACGGTCGAGCCGAAAGAGCCCGCGAAGGGCCTCAAGAGCAAGTTTATCAGTGGCGTGAAGTTTGCGAGCAGAACGGCGAAAGCTTATGACGGCTCCGGAGGGTTTAGGATAGGATTCATGAAGAGGGTTCAGGGTTCAACAGGCTTTAGGATAGGACAGGGGGTTTAGCGTTTGTGGTTTGGTAAGGTCAAGGGCTTAGGCGCAAGATTCAGCGGATTGGGGTGTTGGGTTGATGATATACACATCATATGGAGTTCCAACGGGCGTAATGCTCTCGGTCCAGGGTGCAGCATCCCACAGTAGTGCTTTCGATTTTGCAGACGAGTATTTGTGATTTTGCTTGCCGTCAAAACTGTGAGGTGCAGATCTTCCAAAAACGTGCTCACAGATTCCCCTCAGTATAAAAGCGTGGGCGATATCTCCGGCCCCATATGTGTATGTATGTATGTATATATGTATGTATGTATGTATGTATGTATGTATGTATGTATGTATGTATGTATGTATATTATATATATATATATATATATATGTATATATATATATATGTATATTATATACATATATATATATATATGATTTGTATGTATATCCATTAGACTGAAAAGCAGAGCTGTCCGCCAAGCCTCCTGTCTGGGCGAGGGGGTTATGAGTCCTGGCTTTAAAACCTGAACGTCAGCTCCAAAGCGTGAGCCCGAAGCCCAAACAGGGTTTAGGGTTTAGGTTTTAGGGCTTAGGGTTTAGGGTTTAGGAACAGAGAAACTGAGGGTTTAGGGTTTAGGGGCCCTAGACTCCCTCGGCCGAAATCAAGCCCCCATCGCAGTCAAACCAGCGGATTGTTTGAAAGAAGTTGCTGTTCAAGGCCAGAGACACGCAACCCCAAGACAACACACATTATTTCGGGGGTTCCTTACTATAACTATGGTACAATATTCCCCAAACTCCTATTCTAATTTGTAAGGGCCCTAAAGTAGCTGTGTGCAGTTTCTGTTGGCATGCCGAGCGCAAGTCAAAAGGAGATACTCTTCCCGCCAGGCGACAAAGGCACTTCAGCTCCTGAGTCTGAAATCCTCGATTCTGGGTCGTAGTCACCTTCTAGGCGCGAAGTCCAACTTATGTAGAGGGTTTAGGGCTTGAGGCTTAGAGTTTAGGGCTTTGAGGTTTAGGGTTAGCAGCCCCGAATCTGAGAACTCGTGCCATCTGAGGCAAGTACACGGTCAATTTCATCAAGCAGCTGGGGACGAATACCATCCTCTTCTTCGTAACTCGTCTGCGCAAGGATTTAGGGTTTAGGGGTTTGGGTTTAGGGTTGAGGGGTTTAGAGTTCAGGGTATTTAGGGTTTAGGGTATTTAGGGGAAGAATAGTATTCCGGAGGGTGGTGGACTCCTGGTGGGCTCGCAGTGGTCTCTTGGTGGTCTCCTGGCGGTCTCCCGGTTCGTGGTGGTCGGTTTAGGGTTTCGGGTTCGTGGTGGCGATGGTCCTGGTGGTTGTCGCACTGTTTGGGGATCTACACGAGCATGGTATAATATGAAGCTGCTTAAACCCCGAAACACGGCCGAGCAGGGTTCAGGGTTTAGAAGTGTCTGGATAGGTGCTTGGGCAGAAATATCTCTTCTGCTCTTGCGTTCCTGCCAGTTCTTCTGCTCAGTGCTCCTCACTTGGAGGAGGAGCAGTGCTGGCTTCAAGCATTGTCCCACAACAGCTTGGTTGACCCTGAACCATAATACCCCTTGACCCATAGTAGATCGGAATCTGAGCTCCCAAATCTAACTACCCGGGCGCCCGCAGGGACATCCGAGCAAAGCGAGCATTGCGCTGTACTAAACGGGCTCCCAAGACGTGCATGCCCTTGTAACAACCCTTAGAGGAATCTTAAAAAGATCCCTTACAGGAACTCTTATAGGCCGTGAAACAGGCAAGACCAATTCAACCCTAGAACCTCAAACCCTAAACCCTAAAAGCCCCGAGACCGTAAATCGCCAACCCGAAAACCCTAAAACCCTAAACCATAGCTGCTAAGACCAACTGCTGGCAAAGCTTCAAGCTGCGCTTGGCCAACTCGGAGCGGAAGTGCAAGGAAGACGGTGAGCAAGGTGCGAAGGGAGCGGGGTTCCATATAGGATTCCTTTAACATCCTGAGATGCTTCTCAAGGCTTCCTTTTTGGGTTCCTACTTGAAGGTTCATGGGTAGCTATAAGTGGCGTTACAAGTAGGGCAACTATAGTTATAACCCATGTTATGGGACTTATAGCCCCACTTGTAACTACCCATGAACCTCCAAGTATAGGGGGTTTCTTCAAGCTTCTTCGGAATGGTTGTAGAGCTTGGAGGCCCTGGGCATGCTTTAGAAGTGATCCTTTGAAGGATCTGGTGGGGGGTTTACTTGTAGGGGCCTTAATGATTAGAGTAGGGTTTTGGGGCCCATTATACTATCATTATAACAAGGAACCCCCCAAAAATAATATGGGTAAATATTTAGGCCCCTACATTAGGGCTAGGTCAGGGTTTAAGCTTTCGGTGTAGGGCTTCGGGCTTGCCCTTCAGGATGGAGGGTTCTGTAGTCCTTAACCCCTAAATCCCTAGACCCTAAACCCTGAGGGTTCTTCAGTTTCGCCCTACTTGTAGCCAAGTACTTGGAGGTTCCTGGGTGGTTATAAGTGGGGTTAGAAGTGCCCTGATATGGGTTATAATTATCGTTACCCTACTTTTTACCCCACTTATAGCTACCCATGAACCTCCAAGTAGGAGGCAAAAAGAGGGTTCTTCAGTGCTTCGATTTGGAGGCGGGGCCTTCAGGGTTTTGAAAACCCGAGGTAGGTCCTAACTCTCAACCCCTGAACCGGTAAACCCCTCAAATGAGCCCCGTTGGGGTTTAGGGCAGTTTATGTGTGGGTTAATTTGGGGTCTTCAGGGGAGTTTGGGGGTGTGGGGTTTAAAGGTTAGTGTACCCGTAAACCAGTAAACCCTCACCGCCCCTCAACCAGGTGCCTTGAAGGCTGCCAAGAAAGGCGGACTTCACACCAGCACCGAGGAGGACAGCATCGAAAAAACCGTGCACCTCGGAGCTATCTGAATGGGGGATGGGGGCTTTCGGCTGCCTTCATAAGAAGTCAGAGTTCTACGAAGAACTTGCTACTTAAGGGGTATCGGCGCTTGGCGTTGATGCACTTGCCCAATGTAGGGGCCTAAAAAATTACCTATACTATTTTGGAGGTTCCTTATTATAACTATAGTAATGGGCCCCAAAACCCTATTCGATTACTAAGGCCCCTGCTTATAATTATAGTATAATGGGCCTCAAAACCCTATTCTAATTATCAAGGCCCAATATTACCTTACGGTTGATCGAACAGAAGCTGACGGAAGTTTCCAAGCCCCAGGGCACAGCCCATTTTAGCCCTTGAACTCGGACCTTCGTAAGCTTTAGAGTTTCGGGCGCGAGCCTCTCCGCTTTAGAGTTTCGGGCGCTAGCCTCTCCGCTTTAGAGTTTCGGGCGCTAGCCTCTCCGCTTCTGTGCTTTAGGGCTGCAGTGTCCAGTCGTTATATAGGATTTTCGGGTTGTAGATCTTGATAGGGGTCTAGGTCTGCGTGGTTTAGGGTCCGAGGGCTCCCTAAACCCCAAACCCTAAACCCTAAACCCCTAATATGCCGAATCGTTATGACTTGTCCGGGCAGTGACTGGTTGAGAGCTTCCCGAGGTTGAGACCCAAGGCCAGAGCTCTCAACGCCAAAGCCCTAAACCCCAAAACACTTGGAGCCCTAAACCCTAAACCCTAAACCCTTTATACAACTTTGAGAGTGCCCTATGGAGAACGGTTTAGGGTTTAGGGCTAGGGGCTTCAGAACAAATCCAGAGCCTACTATAGATGCCTGCGTCGTTACCAACATTGTTCTTCTTATAAGTATTCCACAATACACACCATAACTCCTAAGAAACCGACGAGGGATCGGATCTTTGAGCGGAAGCCATTTTTGACAGACAGGAACAGGAAACTGCGCAGGGTTCTGCAATTGAAGAGTTCATGGTGTCCGCGGTAAGTTATGGTGATGGATTTCGTTGGATTTCGGTGACAGTCGGGCTGGATTCCCTAGAGCTTCAAACCCGAGAAAACTACAGTAAACCTGTAAGAGCTGACGCCTTGAATTTAGGGTTCGAACTGAAGCCGAGTTGTGGAAAAGAGCCCGTTGCACAAAGACCCAAGGAATCAGCTCAGCAGCATGGACGCTGATGCCCCCTGGTTCCGAATGCAGTTTTCATTTGAGGCTCCTTGAAAACATGCTTGCTCATTGAAGTCGTTCACTCGGATCGCTTGCTGTTATAACGACTTAGTGAGGACGACGGATTGCAGTCATGTTTCCGCTTTCGTTACTACGACGGTTTTGAAGGTTTGTTACAGTGAGGACAAGAAGGAGCTCATAGTCCTGAAGAACATGTACGGCTTCGGTTTGTTGAAGCCTTCTGTTCATGTTGCCTGCGGTCTCCAATAGCCACAAATCCAACACTTATAAGCTGTGTATAAGCCAGCATGGTTATTTACGCGCAACCCAGAACAAACGGAATGCCTTCCGGACACGACTCGATTCCAGCAAGACAGGGGCCCGTGAGGGAGTCTCAGATGCAGGTTGCAGCCCAGAAAGCCCTTGCCCCAAAACCCCAAAACCCAAAACTCCTGGGCCTTCATCCGAGTTAACCCCGAAACCCTGAAACCCTACACCCGTATCCCAGAATCCCTGAACCTCCCGAACCCTAAGCTCTAAAATCCTGCGCCCTGAAGCCCAAAAACCCCAAAACCCCAGAACCTGCAACCCAAATCCTTAAACCCTAAACCTTTTTTCCTTACAAGCCCTACATCCTAAAATGAACGAGGACTTGAACGCGGAGAGTACAAAAGTGGAGTTAGCCATGGGGAATGCCGTCAACGATGCAGCGCAAGGCGCTGTAACCCGCGGGCTCTGCGGGGCCACCAGCAGTGTCTTTTGAGGGTTGATCAGACCCCAAAGCGGCCCATAATGTCGATCAACCCCCATTTACGCTTCAGGTGTCGGGTAAAAGCTCGGGTGCCCAGGGATGGATCTGTAAAGGTTAAGCCAGGGGCATGAAGCTCCACATCTCAAGATCGAAACCTGGATAGAGCTGTTTCATGAGATCCACCAGCAGCAATCTACGAACGATCTGGGAAGCTTATGGCAAGCACTTCTTGGTCTGGTCCGTTCAACAACCTCCCCTGGAGAGCTTCAAGCAGCGTCTCGGTACTTACACAATCATACAACAAGAGTAGCTCTCCAAATCAGGGTCCCTTTTTAGGTCCCCAATATAGTACGGAACCACAATCAAAAGGACCCCAAATGTGCCCTTTTTTTTGGAGAACTACCCACTATACAGGGCCTTCCCCAAGCCCTTTTGGTGCACCCAGACCCTTCCCCAAGAGCCAAAACCTTCTAAAACCCACATAAAAATTCCGAGGAACTGATGGAAAACCGCGCAGAACCATACAGACCGCTTGCACCGACTGCCCAAAACGGCTACGAAACAGACGGCGGTTAAACGCATATCGGCTAGAGTCTTTAGAGTCCTTTGCTGTCTCTCAGATACATGTATGCGTCCTTTGTTAGATACTTGTCTTTCTTCCAGAGCCGGTCTTCTGCTGGGTCCTCGAATAGGTACGGCCTTCTGATGGGCAAGGGTGATCCCTAAACCCTAAACCCTTCTGATTTGACAATAGCCGGGCCTGGCTTGGGTTGGCTTGTGAGTCCATGCCAAGACAACCGAATCGGACGCTTGCAACAAGAAGCAGTAAAATAGCCATAGTACTGGTCATAGTCATCATCACCATCATCAGCACCATCATCATCATCGTCATCACCTCACTCTAGTGAATAGTGAGTACAGTAAGTAGCAAGATGGCCAGGTGCTATATCCGAGGCTGCTGCTCGAGAGAAGATGAGTGCCCGGGCTCGAAATGGAGTGGTTGGACGTTTTCTGGGCTTGTGAACAGGAGGGCTTTCGTGGTCCAGGGTCCACGGCTTAGAAGTCTCAGGGTCTGGGATATCGGGGGAGGGGGGAAGGGGGGGGTGGTGGGTGCACTGGCTGGTTTGGGTTTTGGTGTTTAGGGAACTCGGGGTTTCGGATTTGGAACTTGGGGTTTCGGAGCTCTGGGGTCCAGAGTTTTACAGGAGCATGCCCTTTATTTTGGCCCCGGAGTTTTATAGAGTGGCCGAAGATTCCCTATCATAAAGAAGCAATAATGTTATCACCAAACCCTACTCCAATTTACCAAGGACCCTCTCTTAGGGTGTAGAGGAATGAATGTTGTTTGGCAGATTTGTTGTGCCGGGCTGCAGGGAGGAAGCTCAGGCCGACCCAGTAGGCTAATAAAAGGCCCCAAACAAAAGAAAAGTACTATTTTGTGGTTGCCCTATTTGGGGGTCCTTATAATAGGGGTCCTACTATTTAGGGTGCTATATTAGGGTCTGCCCTATTATAACTGAAGTAAACTGTACTCCTTGGTCGATGCTTTGGGGATTGAAGTCGTGGAAGACAGGCCCGGGAAAGCATCTCGAAAATAGCGGGCTCAGGAACCTTGGACCCTAAACCTAAAACCTTGAAAAACCCTAGACCCTAAACCCTTTCAGCCCTAAACCTTTTAAAAACCTTAGGCCCTAAACCCTTTAAACCCTAAACCGGTTTAAACGCCCTAGACCCTAAACACTTTAGACCCCAACGTGGAAACCCCCCAAACCCGGGTTTAGGGTTCTTGGAACGGGACACTTCGATTGAGGGTTTTGGGATAATTACCTAGGCTAAGTTCGGGTTGCCTTGAAGGTGTTGGGTTTCGCAGCCACTCAGAACAGGCAGTCAGTATATATCGGACCAAAGTGGATACTCGTAGTCGTAGGTTCTACTACATACCCTTAATCGGTCCCCCAAAACCACGGTTTGGGGTTTAGGGACGTATGGCTTGGATTTAGGGTTTAGGGGACTTCTTTCAATACCTGAACTCATAAGACCGAAATAAGCCCCAGAGAAGCAGCCCTCACCTAATATAGGGGTCTTAATTATAAGAATCGGGTTTTGGGGTATATCATGCTATAATTATAAAAAAAAAACCAAAACAGTATAGGTATTTATTAAGGCCCCTATATTAGTTTCTTTGCCCAACAGCTCCATCAGGTGCCGCCAAGGTGACAGCCAAGAGCCTCCACAAAGACTTGAACGCAGGCAAGCTTGAAGCTAGACCGTCGGGGTTTTAGGCTTTAGGCACCGGTTCGGGATACCTGAATTTGGGATTGTCCTTCTTGCGGCTTTGGGCTTGAACTGCTCGACGTCTTAGAGCATGTCCGACTGTCCTGCGTGGGCATTCCCGGGCCTGAAGAGATAACCCTAAATTAATGATTAAATTGGGGTTCGGGAGTTTAGGGTTCAGGAGTTCAGGGTTTAGGAGTTTAGTTTAAGTTCAGGTTTAGGAGTTTAGGGTTTAGGAGTTCATGGTCAAAGAGTTTAATTAGTTTAGGGTTTAGGAGTTAGGATTTAGGAGTTTTAGGGTTTACAGGTAAAGCAAACCACACGAAGTCTAAGCTGAATCTCAACTCCCGCCGAGGCTTTGCCGAAAGGATTTGGAGTTTAGGGTGTGCGGTTTTTGCAGAGGCCCATGTGAATCGATACAGCAAAACATACACTAAACCCTGGAACCCGAACTTGAAAGCCCTAAAACCGAAAGCCGCTAGTTCCATACTACGGTCTTTAAGACCCCGAGCCCAAGGTAGAGCTCTCCCCTTTTGTCTACATCAGGCCCCGCTGTAGGAGATTTAGAAACCGTTGCACCCTGTGGCTTACTTGGAGGTTCAGGGGTAGTTATAAGTGGGGTTTAAGTAGGGTAGCTATAGTTATAACCCATATTAGGGGACTTACACCCCACTTATAACTACCCATGAACCTCCAAGTAGGGTACATGGTTTAAACTCCTCCCAAACCTTGAGATGCTGGGGGAGTTCAGCATGTAAGTGTAGGGTTCAAGGCCATGCAGCCAGAAAGCCCCGAAGCATGAAATCCTTACGCTCCCACTGTGTTTCTGGCAAGTTGTGCCCAAGTGTGTGCAGCACACCACATGTTTAGGGTTTACGGTTTAGGGTTTAGGGATGCTACAACGGTGCTGGCACTTGCGATCGCTTCACATGCGTTGTCCTCCACCCACGCGTTGTGGACTGAACATGGTATAGTAGTTATAAGTGGGGTTATAAGCCCCTTAATATGGGTTCTAACTATAGTTACCCTACTTATAACCCCACATATAACTGCCCCTGAACCTCCAAGTAGCGGAGCGGAAGCTGCGCCGCTGAGCCATCCTTCCAGATGGACAGCAGCGGCCCAGCAGAAGCGAGAGACGCGAGAGCGCCAGTTTGGCCCTGGTAGGAAACGTGCGGTAGAACCTGAGGAAAGATTCCCCATGTAAGCCCTGAAGCCCTTAGAAGACGGAGATGAACCCCCTAAAGGAACCCTAAATGGACTTTGAAGAATTGGTGCTTTCGGGTTCCTTAGTGTAACTACACTACAACACACCCCAAACCGCATTCCAACTATTCAGACCCCGATGCGAAGACCCCTACAGAAGCCCCCCCGTTCTGAAGAAGCCCTAAACCCTAAACGCTATTCTAGTCATTTGTGTGGTACCCAAAAAAGGACCCTAATTTTGACAACGACCATTTGAGGCCCCCATGTTCGCCAGGAAAGCTCGATAGCATTGACGATGCTGAAGAGGAGATCGAATCTGTGGAAGAGAGTGCTCCTTGGCTGGGTTTGGGGTTCCTTCAAGGGTACTGCAAAGCATTCCTTTAAGGGCACTATAAGGGTTTCCCGAAGTGTGCTGTGGGGTTGAGGGTTTCGGAGGTTTTGTCGTTCAGGGTCTCAGGGTTTGGGGCTAGCCCAGCTTAGAAGGTTTGTAGAGTTTGGGGAAGCACGGAAGCTGTTCAAAGCGTGAGCGGCCGAGGCGAGATCCTCTCAAGAGTCTTAAAGCTGCAACCCTGAACACGTGGAGTCCTGGAGTTTGTCACCCACTCTAAGCTGTACAGCCTAAACCCTAAACCCCTAACCCCTAAACCCCTAAACCCTAAACCCTAACCCCAAAAAACCTAAACCAAGCTCGGCAGCCTGAAAGGCTCCCAATTGAGCATGCTCCTGGATCTCTCCTGTCATATTCCGTTCTATCATAGCCATATCATACTGTATTAGGGTTTAGGGTTTAGGGTATTACATGATAGTATGTGGTCTTGTCTCACATTGTGAGATCACAGTTTCTGAGGTCTGCAAAACTCAGCGCAAGACTGCTCTGCAGACCCTTAAGGCCTTTCTGAGGGAGTTGCAGGTTCAGGGGTACATAGAAAACATTGGACTTCGATAATGCAAAGATAACGAATAAAAAAAGTTATAACAATAATGACAGTAAGTTTGATGATAAGAACAATTCTGATGAACATTGATGAAAGAAGGGTCACTCATAGTCGCGAGGTAATTTTGCTGCAAAAATATCCTCAAAAGATCGAAGCTAATTGCTACAGTAGGGTCCTTTATATGGGCTACAACTTCGGCTCTGCGCTGACGGCTTGTGGCATGTCGGTGTCTAAGGGTTTCGGGTTTAGACCCTAAACCCTAAACCCTCAACCAGGCTTCCAGGGTTAGGGTTCATGAGAAGGGCTCCGCCCCTTCATTAGCCCGGCAGCTTTAATCCTAAGGCGCGGGTGCCCAGGATCATGGTTCTTGAGGCCCCAACCATAAGCCCTGGGTTTAGGGGTTTAGGGTTTAGATAGAGGCTGGGTTTAGGAGTCATTACATTTGAGGGCGCTGTTCAGTGCACTTAAGAAGCGCGCATGAAGACGACGGTTCCTTTCAGGGCTCCTTTAAGGCATTTAGGCAGAGTCCTAAGCATCTCGGGTTAACTTCTATTTTATTTTTTGTGGTACACACCGACACTCTAGTCTCAGTGACAATGCCCTATATGGGATGCCAGCCTACTTTAATTTAACAACAAAAAGCTCTGCCTTGTCGATCATGGGGCTCTTGGAAACCAGAGAAACGGGGAAGGAGCCGGATCTAAGAATCTATGCAGGGTCGACCTGTCTTGAAACTATGACCAATAACCCCTCAGAGCTTAGTCGCTTCTGGCGCTAAACCCTAAACCCTAATCCCTAAACCCTAAACCCTAAACCCAAATAAACCCTAAATGGCGCTAGAGTGTTTTATCCCCACTTCTGTCCGCTGAGGGTGCACCAGCTTCAACTCTTGATGAAAGGGGCTCTGGAGTCCTTAGCTTTTCGGGCTGTAGGGTTTAGGGTTTAGGGGTTTAGGGTTTAGGGTTTAGGGTTTAGGGTTTAGAGTACTGTAGCTCATCTAACCTCTAGGCCCCGAAATCTGTACTGTTTAGACGCTTTGTGGAAGAATTATGTCCGTGTCTGAATAAAGCCCCTACAAACCGTAGCTAGTGCATATGTGCCCAGAAACGATTTTGGAGTCCTCAACCCAGAAGCACTGTTCACAGATTTTGGCAGTCTCTGGCTACAGCTTTGGCCTGAATACTTGGAAGCAGTATCCCCGTATTCCCTCTCGAAATATACTACGTTTTGATGAAGACCCCCATTAAGCAAAGAAACATATAGAAGGCCGATAAAGCCTTGTTCTAATTATAAAGGCCCCTAAAACACCCAAAAGCCTTCAGAACCCGTATTACTTGGAGGTTCATGGGTAGTTATAAGTGGGCTTCTAAGTCCCTTAATATGGGTTATGACTATAGTTCCCCCACTTTTAACTACCCATGAACCTCCAAGTAGAGCCTGTAGAACGACACTACAAGACATCTTCTAACTGTCAGGGCCCTTTTACGCTCTACATGCACATAGTCTTTTTACATGTATACTCATGTGTGTGCTGTCGTATGCTGATACTGATTCAAAAAGGCTGTTTAGAAGAAGGTACAAGCACACCCTGAACCCCTAAACCCGAAGCGCCTCAACCCCTTTTCCCCTAAACCTGAATCCCCAAACCCCCGAAGCCCTCAACCCTAAAACCCCCTTAACCTAGGGTTCAGGGGTTTAGGGGCTTAGGGGTTTAGGGTTTAGGGCTGAAGCCGTAAACCCCCCAAGCTAAACCCTAAACCCTAAACCTTAGTGTTGCCAGGATGTCTTCAGGCAGACCCGCAGCGCCTTCTCATCGGGCCTGAAACTTGCGGCAGCCTGGCCTTTAAAGGAGGTTCTGGGATTCCTAAAAGGATTCCTTTAAGGCATCTTTAGGGGGGGGGGGTGTCTATAAGGGTCCTCTGAGGGTTTGGGGATTCAGAGGTTGAAGGTTTAGGATTTTAGGGCTCCTTTTTGATCTTCATGGTTGGTTATGTCTACTTTGCTTCGGTTAAGAGTCCATTTCGTTTTGATGTGTTTGGCTTCTGGCTGTTCTGTCTTTTGTAATTTGTCATCTGAGGTTATGAAGGGCTTGGTAAGGGCTTTTACTGTTAGAGGGGTATGATCGGGCTTGCATTAGGGTTTTCATAGAGATTGAGTGTGGAAGCTGGCGAAGGCGTGCTTTTTATGTATGCGTCCGTGGCCACGGGTAGCCTTTGACTTATTTAGGATTTAGGGTAATAGAGGGGCCTAAATAATTACCTATACTATTTTGGGGGTTCCTTGTTTCAATTATGGTATACTATACCCCAAAACCCTATCCTAACTACTAAGGCCCCTACATTATATCAACTTCTACAAGAGTTCCATGAGGGCTCCAGGGTTGAAGGTTTGGGGTTGAGAGCGTCAGCCAGCCCCCAGCCAGCAGCCGCCAGCCCCCACGCCCCAGCCCAGGCCCCCAGCCCAGCCCAGCCCAGCCCACCAGCCCCCCAACCACAGGCCCAGCCCTTTATGGGTTTTTTTTGCTTTCGCTCTGCCTCCCAAAACCCTGTCCCCATTTCCGTTTACCCAACTCAGGGTTGCCAGAGTCAAGGCATCGCAGCGGTTTGGTGGGGTCTTAGGTTGAGGGTTTACCGTTTGGGGGTAGAGGTTTACGGATTAAGAGTTGAGGGCTTAGTTGGTCCTTAGGGGCTATAGTTTCGAGTTAGTTTGGGCTGCGGCTAATTTCACAGCTGAAGTGTTTGTGCTTCGTCTGTACGCTTCAGGGGTACCTCAAATGTGAGGATCTGAAGCTGCCGCACGGGATACTTAGGTGCTGATCGCTGAAGGAGCCTCAAGGTTAGAATGCTTCTTACAAATACGCTGCCAGGAAAACCTAAACCTAAACCCGAAATACTGGATGTTGGGGACAACCCAACCCATAGCGGATTCGGGTCATTGGAGTTTCAAGCTTGGCCGGCGCCGTAACAGCTGCATAGATGAGGACCTGTTATCGTTTTTGCGGTAACATACCGCAGAATCCTATTCTAGTTGTTAATTCTGTTTAGATTAATTAGCGGCATCCCAAGAAGCACTTAGCTTCCTGTCTTAGCCCAGGAGACAGCAGGTCTTGGGCCTACTCTGCCAAGCTATAGAATCCTTAGGGTTTAGGGTTTCTTCGGGTTTAGGGTTATAGAACCCTTGTAAGATGCATCCGAGGCCCCAAATCTTGGCATCCGTGGCGTGGGCGTCTCGGCAGCGGGCCTTGGTGCCGGACTCGAGGAGGCACCCGGAAAAGGAGGTTGGGGTTTTAGGTGGTTTAGGACGGGCTCGGATTTAGGATCTAGGCTTGAAAGGTTTAAGTGTAGGTTTAGGGATAGATCCAGAATCAACGTGTACATATATATATATATAT